CCGAGCACAGATTTTTAAACTCGAGATTAAGAATTGGCCCCAAGAACTCAAAACCAACAAAACAATAAAGAAAATTGAATCTAAGCAAAATTTATTTTAAAAGATAAACTGAAATTGGCTGATCATATTGAATCTTGGCGCCGTATATACATGTACATATAAATTATTTACTTACAATAATATGTGTTATTGATGAAGTAGGAAAAGTTGTAGTTAAGTTACTAATATTATTATTTAGTCTTAAGTCATTAATTATAATAGAGAATCCAGTCCTTTTCCTGTACGCTTTTTCAAATATAATTGAAAATTCAAATAATTCATTTCCTTTGAACAAATCTCCTTTAATAGGTATAGATCCCTAAATTTTATAAAATAAAATTTATTTTAAAATTATATGGGTGAAAAATCGGATTTAAACTTCATAATATTGTAAGGAAGGGGGAGATCCACATGCATAGACGTGTTTTAAATTAAAATAACTGTACGTGGTGAGTGAGAGTGCCTATAAATAAATGACAGGACCCGTATTTCCTTGTAATATACTAAACTAACTTCATTCGAGTCTAGTATAGTTTCATGTTCAGAATAATTAATCTTCAGAAATGTAGCACCAACTAAATTTAAAAATTTTTTCTTATTAATAAAGTCCGGATTTTTAGTCAAATACGTTTTTATGCGATCTCAATTTAACGAATAAAACGTAATACTATGTGTCTAGAGTAATTTTTATGTTGACTATTCTAGACTATTTTGGAATTTTTGGCTTTGAAGGCTTTTTCATGTATTTTAGTCAAAAATTTCAAAAATTGGCATTGACTATATTAAAAAAATCCCTCACAATCGGTTAATTATTTTTAAAGAAAAATTTAAAAAATTTTCATTTTTCAGGAATGTTAAGGAATATTTTTTAAATAGTTTTGGATATCTTAAAGAATTTTTGTCATTGGTAAAGACTACATTTATTTCCATAATGTTTCTTCTACCTTAGAAAATTCAATAAAATTGTGCCAGTATTTTTAAATATTTAATTTCCAATTACTTGTTTTAACATTATTTTGATTTGAGTAAAATGTAATTAATTCCTTTTTAACATTTTAAACCATTATTTCGACTATTTTTTGTAACTATTTTGTACGTTTTATGACTATTTTAGGGACTAAATATTTTGCAATTTTTACTTGACTAAAAAAAATCCGGGTTTATTAAATTATACTTTTAATAAATTAAAATATAATTTATTAATTTAAAACATATACGGCTTAATTTTAGCATTGAATCTTTTGATGTGCCGTGTAGAAATGCAATTTCAACATTATTATTTGTTTTATTTTTATGAATTAATCCTCGAAAAGTAAAGTTTTTGTATGAAACTTCAGTTAATCTTTCTTCATATGGTGTCTTTAATGTTGCAAAACGCTAAAATAAAATATTAATTTTCTACCTCAAAAATAATCAAAATTACATTAGAAATATCAATTTGTCCAACACTAATAACACTAATCGGTATAAAATCCCCATTAATTAACAACTCTCCCTCAATATTTTCATTAAATTGGTTTTCCGTTTCCCACCATTTATTTGGCCAAAATATATTAATAGCATCATAAAAATGTTCATATTTCATACTAATCCAAAAATAATATCTTTTTATAAACAATGTAATTGTTATTTTAATTCCACTTTCAATTGTTGGATTTCTTTCAAATGTCCATAGTTTTTTATTAATCCATTTACCGTCAATCTACAAAATATAAAATTAAGAGTTTTTTAATTTCAATACTTTATAAATCTAAATATAATTTCGGTATAAGACACAAGAACCAGACGGGTTAAATTATATGTTAATCAAAAGATTTGATATTTATCACTATTAATTGTGAGGACATATTTATTTTCGGACAAAAAATCGGATGAAAAAAGCCTAGTGAATCTTACCCTAGTAAATCTTAACTAAGTTAAGATTCACTCTAAATATTATTTTAAAATTATCTCTTACCCTTTCATTTCTCCATTCAACAGCAGTTAAATTCCTTTGAACAATGAATGATATGTTTTCGTTTACAAGATTTATTCCAACTTGTCCTCTATTGCCTTCTTTATCGGGCATTATAACGAAAATAATTGCCTTTTCAAAAACTTTACCCAATTTATATTTTTTATTTGTAAAACGTTTTTCACAATGACTTTCTTGATTTGTGTTTAGATTATTTATAAAAGGTATTTTAGCAGTTATTGGTGTTGTGAACTGGAAAATTATTAATATTTTATTTTCTTAAATCTGTTATTCATCAGGATAAACTGAGGATACGAATAAATATAGTTTTTGGTTATATATATTATCTCATTTTTTATTTCAAAAACATTTTTATGATGTTTGGATTTAATTCATTCATAACCTTCATTAAATCTCTAATTCCTTTAATTTCCAATTAATTTTTCAAAAAATCTACCCTAGCTTGTACAGCACAAGAACATCCTCTATAAACAAATAAATGAATATATCTTTGTGCTCTAATTGGCAATAAATCCATTCCAAGTGCCCACAAACCAATATATTTATATAAATAAGTACCTTCATTTATATTTAAAAGAAATTCTTTTTTAAGATTTTCTTCTTTCTTTTGAATTTCTTTGCCTTTATTTTATAGTTTTTTAAAATTAATTAATTAGAAATTATTTTTTTAATTTAACATTTCCGGGCATGTACAGGTTTTATACAAGCCTTTTTTTAGAGTTTTGAAATTTAATCTTCTAGTCCTTACCTTCATTTCCAGCATTTAATAGACGAGTAAATATGTTATCGTTTTGGCCAAATTCGAGAGCAAACCAATTTACTGATTTAAATTTGTATCTAAAATGTGGCAAGTTATAAATTGAAAAATAAATTTTACTCCTCAAAAACAATATTAAATATACCCCTAGTTATTTAAGTACCGTTTTAATTATTTTTATCTTGATCTAACTGCACAGAAAAAAGACATGATTATGCATTTTTATTAATTTATGTAACTTTTAAAAATTATTTTCTTCCCTATATTTTTAATTAATTATTTAAAATATTTATTTTAAACAATCCAAACATTTTGTTCGAAATAGACAATAAAATATTAACAAAAACATTTCCATCATTGTGTTCTGTTTTGACAAGTATTCCATGCCATCGGGAATTGCCAATATTTCCAGGAGAACAAATTTTACTTTTTTGATTATGACAATAATCAAAACGTTTCTGTTCACATTTCTCGGTGATTTTATTCTTTTTTTTTAAATTAAATATATTATATTAAATTTCATTAATATATATATATGTATATCAGGGATCTATAGACATAAAAAATAAATCCCGATTTTGTGAAATCGGGATCCTAACCAAAAATGTTGGGAATTCTCGATTTTTTGAATCGAATTGGCTAGAAAAGGTATAAAAAATGGTAAAAAAGGTATAAACATTTTTTATAAAAACGTTGAAACTATTATTTAATTTTTGTTATATTAAGTTATACTTTTTAAAATAAAATGTTTTTAAGAGAATTTAAATTTTAATAAATATTTAATTTTTAATTAAATTACTTTTTTGCTCCCTAAACGATAAGGAATTGAAAAAATTGTTCCATTTTTATTATTTTCTTTACTCAATTGACTCGGATAACAAATTAGCAGTCTTAAAAAATTATTTAAAAAATTAATTAATTTTCTAAATAAATCAAAATTTACCCTTCCGGTTGGCAAATAAATAAATTTTCGAGAAAAAATTGAAGGGAATAAGAGCCAATTTTCTTTTGTTCAGGGCGTAACATGCATTGATCGTATATTAAATAGGGAATTGAGTGATGAATGACTCCAACATCCGTTAATAAAAAACTTAAAAATTAATTTTAAAATCCGTCGATATTTATGATATTATTTAATTTTCTATGATATTAATTTAAATTTCTTTATTAAATAAATCTACGGTTCTTGCTCCAATTCCTTGACGTTATTTGTTGGATTCGCTTGTATTTTAGAAATTTCGTTAATTAACATAATAATTAATATTTTTAGAAAAATATTAATTAAAATTAACATTTTTAGGATTTAAATAAATAAAAATATTTCTAAATTTATTAAAAAGTTATTAAATAAATAATTATTAACTAATTCTAATTTAATTTAAAAATCTAAAAAACTTTTCATTTATGGTTTGCTAGCTTATAGAGAGATTTGTTAGTCATTTTGTTAGTAATATAAAATGAATTTTAATATTTATAATAATATTAACATACATAACTATTTAGGATATACTATTTTACACTTAAATGATTAAAAACAATTTTTAATCAAAAAATTCAATTAGTAAATTAATTAATGAATTAATTACATAAAATTTTTAGATATGTACTAATTATTAAATTAATGAAATATTTATCATCAGGGTAACTAAAGTTAGCTTGATTATTTACAAATATGTAGTTAAAAATGGTTTATCATTATTTTTAAAAGAAATTTAATATAAAAACAAAACGACAATAATTAAAATTTTACCAAATAATAATTATACAAAAAAAATTAAAAATTATTTTTTATTTAATAAAATAACTAAAAAATAAAAATATTTATAATTAAATTGTGACTAGTAACTAATTAATTAATGATAAAAAATATCTAATTTCATTAATAATACAAGAACGAGATTGTTTGGAATAGAATATTCGTGCCTTTAACTTTAATAAAATTTAATAATCCAATCACAATATTTAACTTAAATATTATGTCCCGTATCTAGTTATTGGAAGGCTCGGATTTTTATTTTCATTTTTCAGAAAATTGTTGTATTTACATATCCTCAAATTTGAATTTTTTGGAATCAAATTTTTTTTCAATTCTAATCCTTTCTTGTTAAAACAATGCTCATTCTCGTCACAAAACATATATATCAAATACATAGATTTATTTACAAATACAATATAAGAGATTCAAAAGAAAGTAACCGGATGTGATATATTTTTGAAAATAAAGAAAAATTATTTAAAGGAAAATAAATAAACAGAAATTGAAAATAAAATAACCACCAAAATTCTATTTATTAAAAATGTCGAGGTTGATGAATTAATTAATGACGAAACGAGAAATTTGTCCATAACTGAAAATTTTGAAGAAAATAATTTTGAGAAACGTATTCTAATTAATTAAATACCATATTCGCTATATTCCATGTCTTTGGCTGCTCTCCATATTCGACATTCTGAACGTTTATTTGCATGCATAGGCCTAAAATAATTCAAAATAATATTTTATAATTTTTACTCAGAAAATTCATTCAATTTTAATATTTAAGATTTATAAAATTTTGCTTGTGATAAACTTGCTTTAAATGTGACGCTTTTAAATGCATCCATCTAGGGGCATTTTGACTGTGATATTGTGGCCAGTGTAGTCGATCTTCTCGATGATCAGATAATGATGGAACACTTTAAATGAAAAATAATTTAAAATTTTTTGTTTTTAATTACAGATAGACAAAAATTTAAATGCCCCTTTGGATTGAAAAGATCAAATTAAAAATGAAAGTAACTTAAATAAGAGAGTAACGTTTAGGCAGTTATCCTAACTCAGAGGCCAACCAAATTAGAGGAAAAGTACTTGAATGAGGTTTATCTAATTTTGGGTGTATCCTTGTCTGATTATCAACTATATTAGGGGAAAGTCTTACCCAGTTGTGGCAAATGATGTCCAAAGTTGAATCTTTAAATAAATCCAAATAATATAAATTCAACATAATATTTAAATTAAACTAACCATTTTCTTACTTAAAGTTCTTTCTCCTAAATAAATAAACAAAATATAGGTATTAAAAAGAAATTAACTATTAGAATATCCAGCAGAAGTATTATATAAAGGAATACCAAATACAAATTCAATTTCATAACCATGCATTACACCTGTCCATTTAGGCCAAGGATTCTTTATATAAATTTAAAAAAATAATTTTTTAAAATAAATAACTTACAGCACTTGAAGGTTCATCAAAATAATAAATATAAACATGTCCAGGTGAATCATCAAACTTAAAAATTAAAACAAATCTTTAGTACAATATTTTAAATCATTATTAAAATACCTGATCTGCAAACCAAAGAGAATCACAAGTGAAGAAATAATCGCCAACCTAAAAATAATTTTTAATTAATTTATTCTAAAAATTAATTTTTCACCATTTGATTAACTTGATCAGCAAGAAAACGATGCTGTCCATTTGCATAATCACAACGATTATTTCCTGTATAAACATATGCTGCCGCAGCTCTAATAACCTCAGGTAAACGAGCAAAAGCTGTATTTACACATTCATTAAATTCATTAATTCCCATTAGTGGTTGGGTTTGGTGATCGAAAAATTTTGGGAGATTGTAAATATTCCTTTAACAAAAAATTTTTTGATGAAGAATAATTAAACAAACCAAAATGCCCCTTCATCGCTGTTTATTCCTTTAAAAAATAAAAATAATTTTAACAAATAATTAAGTAAATCTTAACGTATATTATGTCTTAAGGTAGATGTCAAGATGAAAATTATTTAAATAAAGAAAATTATTGAGAATCATGGAGAGATTAGATAGATAAAGGCTATTTTTAGTATAACTATAAATTAAAATAAATTCTTTAAAAATTCCCACCAATCATTAAATTAACATCTTGAGCGAAATTTTTGTTCCTTAATGCGATAAATGCATCTTCTTTAGTAAAAAAATTTGCATCCTTTGAAACGATAACAAGAGGAAATTCAAGAAATCCGAGCTATAATTAAATTTAAATTTAAAAAGAGTGATTTAGATTAAAAAACAGTTGGAATATTCCACAATTGATCAACAAACTCGGCAGGAGGTACTCTTCGAAGACAACGTGCTATATCATGAATATTTGTACGATTACATCCGACAAGTTTAGCCAGGTCACGGCTTTTTTCTAAGGCACGTTTTGGGGTGTCCATACTCCAACGATTGTCTAATGAACCTTTTAAAAAATATAATTAAATAAATAAATTTATTAATCGAATGCCTGATTGAAGAATTCCATTGTGAAAGAGTCCACGCGATCCTGGTGCAATTAAATGAGCAACAATACTAGAAGCACCGGCACTTTCTCCAAAAATAGTTACCTAATTTATTTTATTTTTCTTTTACTTAATAATTAATTTTTACTGATTTTGGATTTCCACCAAAAGCTTCAATATTCTCTCTAATCCAATAAAGTGCAAGTTGCTTACAATATAATATATGTTTTCTTTTAAAATCATTGTATTACCTGATCTAGCATTCCCATATTTCCTGTTAATTTTAAAAAATACTAAAAATTTATTTCCTAAAATTTTCTCCCTCACCAGGAACTTCAGAATCTCCCAAATACAAATAACCAAAAGCACCCAGTCTATAATTTATATTAACAACAATAGCATTTGCAGTTAATGCCAAAGCTTTTCCATCATAAAGAAGCAAAGATGGACTTTAATATTTTTAAATAATACATAAAATATATTTACTAATTACCTTCCATACCAAAAACCTCCACCAAAAAACCAAACCAAAACTGTCAGATTACTTTATATATTTAAATATACATGTTCAAAAACAAAAAGATTTAGTAAATACCTAGCCTCAGCTGGTGCCCAAATATTCATGTAAAGACAATCTTCACTGACTGGAGTGTTTGCATTCCACATTTCAGAACCCCAAAATGATTCGTTATAACTGTAAAAATATTTTAATTTTAAGATTTTCTTGTAAATAATTTTTATGATTAATCTATCTATTAATTAATAATTCAAAAAACGATACAAAAAATGTTTAAAATTATTTACTTAATTCTTATTTTACTTTTACATCTTATAATTTATTTACAATAAATTAATTTATTTGATATTTATAAAATATTTACGTGTCTCTTCCTTGATAACATGCTGGGGCGAGTGTTGTTGCTTCAATGGTTTCTGAAATTTAATTAATATTTTATTTAATTATCTGTAAAGATTATTTTAAATTTTATTCTGAAAACCCCCAAAATTTTGCATATTTTCCTATTTTTTTCGCAATTTCCTTCAATCAAAATTCATCTTTTTCCATTTAATTATATTTACTTTCCCAATATTCCCACACTTTATCCAACCATTCCAAGGCTTTTTTAGTCGAGGAGGCAAAAATCTCAATTCTCCAATTGGGGGCTCAGCAAATGGAACACCCAAGAAAGAGCGAACACGTTTGTGTAGAAAAATAGATTCAAATCCTCGTAAAAGGCCAGCTTGGAGTTCAACATCCACTGGAACTTTAGATTGGTGGGAAGAAGATAATGAGGCATTTACCTAAAATTATGTATATAGGTTTATTACAAAGATAGTGGTTTTAGATAAAATTAGCGAGGGATGAATTACATTAATTATTTTTCAAAAAATTTAAATTATACAAAGTTTAGGTTAAAATAGGGAGACAAAATTAATTAGGGCCATAACTATAACATTAGATCCCAAGCAAATTTTTATAGAAAATTTATGTACTTGTGATAATCGAAGTATTGTGCCGTCAATAAAAGAAAATACTAAAATTATTGATAACAACCGCCACATAATTTTCCTTGCACTAATAAATAAATAAAAGTAAAATAATCTTTAATGAAAATTATTATTAATAAATTATTTATTTATGGAGAGAATTATTATTTTATTTGTACAGTTAATAGACAATTATTTTTAAATGTTTAGGGAGTCTCTTGTTGGATTTGCTTTTTTGTGAAAATAAAAATTGAAAAAAATTTGTGTGAAAGATCGATTCTCGAATTTACTTTTAAAAAATTATTAAATTAAAAAATGAGGGAGGAGGGGTAATGTAATTAAAAAAATGTGTAATTTATTCAAAAATATTTTTAACAAAACAAATATTTAATGTAACTTAATTCCTAAAAATTGCAAAACAAAAGTAACAAATAAATTTACAAAAAAATTTTTATTTAAAATAAAAGAAGCCAAAAAAAAATAAATAAAAATAAAAGAATAAATCCCCCCTTTTTCCACCATTTATTTCTCTAAATTCTTTATTTTTTTGTTTGTTTTAAAATTTTCAATAAAAATCAAAGTGTGAGGAAAAATATTTAAAAGAATCCAACTAAACAAGAATAAACATACTCAATTAAAAAAAGTATTTGGGAAAGATAAAATAAAATGACATAAATTTATATTAGGTATATAAAAAATTAAAGTAAATTTTTAGTAAAAATAATTAAAAAATGAAAAAAATTGAAGGATAAAAAAGATGAAGAAGATAAAAATATTTGAAGAGATAATATTTAGATTTAATTTATAGATACCCATTAAAAACTTTTATCTGCCAAATATTTTAAATTTGTTTTCAAAAAAGTTTAATTAATTTAAATAACAATAATTTCAAGAAACTTTTTTAAAAAGTACTTATTCTACGAAAAGTTTATGATCAAGATGATTATCAATTATAGCAATGGCTAAATGGAATTTTTCATAAAAGTATCAATTGGAGCTAAGATCTATTTCAGAATGTTTAGAGCCATTTAAATTCCTTAACGCTCCGGCAAAAAATAAAAATTATTAAAAAAAGATGTAAAATTTTAAAAACTGAAGAAAAAATTGAATAGGATATCTAAATAAAATATAAAAATATTTTTAAATAAAATTTTAGGCAATTACTATTATTATTAAGTGTTCAAAAAAGGTCATCTAATCTTAAATATTTACGAATTTAAAATAAAATGATGAATAAAATTTGAACTTATTAAAATATGAAAAATCTTTAAAAATTAAATATTAGAATTTTAAAAAATTTAAAGAAAATAGATTTCCTTCAATAAAAATGTCATGTCAAATTTTTAGTGTTAAAAGCATTCCAAAGTGAGTGGACATAAAGCAGAGCTTTTTCTCACCCAGTTTTTATTCATCTTTTTTTTGTTTAGCTAGTAAGCATAAAAAATATATTTTATAAATTTGTTTAGAGGGCCTCTTTCCCCCCCCCCCCCCCCCACCTTCGCCTTCTTCAAAGGCGTGTGAATGTCATTTTCCTTATAAAATCTTCTCAAGTTCCTCTATTTATTGCGACTTTATTTTGAATAGAAATATGTATAATGGTGGCATCTGAGTTTTAATTATATTTGGGGGTTGCTATATTGATGCTTTTCCTATTAAAAATTATTTTCATTTAAAATTTAAGGAAGGTAAGAATTCTGAAAAAAAAATTTAAAAATCTGGAACGATGAGGCAACGGTTTTTTAAAATATATTTAAACATTATTTGCAAAAATGGATTTTATTAAAGGATTAAATATATCAGTAAATATACATATTCATTTTTTAAATTTGTCTTTGGAGACGTGTTGATAAAGTTTAGTGTTCCTAAATTAAAATACTACTATATTAAAACTTTTTATTACCTATAAATTTATTTAATCAAAAATTGTCTAGCTCTCATACAATTTTAAGTATTTTATTCTTTCCATAATTAAATTGACTTTTATCCTTTATTTAATATTATTTTCTCAAAATCTTCTTTTTCAATTATTCTTCCTTATTGGCTAGCTTTTCTCTTTTCTCAAAAACACTTTAACCAAAATATAATCAGGCTGATTATATTTTGAGAGCATCTCAAAGATTTTATTTTTCCTTTATTGAGTTAAGAAATTTGATTATATTAAATATGTAAAGGAGGAACGTTTATTGGAAAGATAAATAAATTGTAAAAGATGGAAAAAAATAAAATTAAATGTTCGATAAAAAAGATTTGTGGCAACTTTTAAAGAGGGATTTAATATTTAGTAAAAGAAAAGAGAATTTAAATTAAGGGATAATATTAATTTTTTAAGAAGAACTTCATATTATTATATAATTAATTTATTATTAACATAATTTTTTTGAGATTTTTAATTGTTAGAAATTAAAGTTAAGAGCATTTTTTTGAAAATTAATAAATGATAATGAAGAATTATTCGAGTATTTCCTAAAGGTGAAAAAATAATTTATTATTTTTATTATTAAAAAAGCTATCCTTTAAAAAAATAATAAAGAAAAAAACAAAATCCAAACAAGAACAAAGAGTATAAGATAGCGGAAGGATTTTGTGAAAATTTGTAGCGGAAGGAAGGCGTTGGCGGTTGAAGGCGTCTTCCAAAGTAGCTGTATAACAATAAAAGAATGAATGTACTTTAATATTTAATATTCAAAAATGAATAAAAGCATTCGAGCAGAACTATTCAGAATGCAAAAAATCTCTCCAAATATATTTTAAATTAAAATGGTAAAAGTATGAAAATATTGGCTGGGAAAAAATATTCTTCTGCAGAGGAAAAGTTCTTCTTTTGTTGAATTACTTAATAAGAGATTTTAAACTAGTGTTCGGCACGGTTCGGTACTCCTACAGTACTCCCGGAATTGACTCGGTACCAGGACTGTCCGCAAGTGAAAAAAATTTTCCGCAGCCGCAATCCGCAAGTCCAAAAAACCACGCAATCCGCAATTGCGGACATTCCTGCTCGATACTCCAGGTATTGGTATTGAAAAAATCCATTTGCCTAACATTAAAAATCCTCATTTACAAACATTAAATTTATTTATTTATACACATTTATTAAATTAGAAAAACAATTTTTTGAATTACAATAAATGGAATGAGTTAACAACAACATTTATATATTACAAAATTTACAGAAAGCGAAGGAAGGTGAATAATTTACAGAAAACAAGCAATTACGATTTAGAACAATTTTGTTATATATTTTTCATTTTCGCTTCTGAGCACATCCTTCTGAACAACCATCGGCATCGCTGCTCACTCGGAAACAATCTTGACATGTCTAAATGAAGAAAGGTTTTGAACATGTTTAATTTTTCTGTATTTTTAATTTTCTACCTCATCAGCGAGGAATTGCTAATCGCGTCGAATGCCGGATCCACATACTTGGCATACATATTGTGCGCTCCATAGGTCTGCGGCAATGCCAAGTAGAGAAGGAACACGGCTTTAACGGCCCAGTAGAGCGGGAAGTAGCTGTAGATCTGCGAGGCGAACTGGTCGGGCACAGTGAAGAAGGCGAACGTCGTCCAGTACACTAACCATTGCGTGTCGTCTTCTGCAAAATTTAAATAAATTATTGAGTGTTGTACTCTTAGTTAAATTTTGCACCTTTGTCATCCGACCGAATAGCGATTACCGACTGATATGCTGGATAGACGAATCCAATCATGTTGCAGAGGAGGCCAGCGAAATTGCCAAGGATCAGGTAGAGAAGGACGATGGCACTGACAGCATAGAACATCTGAATGAAGGGGAAAAAATATTTTTTGTAACAGATAAAAGGATATTTTACCTGTTCACGGTCAAGGCCTGTAGCTGCCTCCAATGGCGAAAAGAACGCATCCTTCGACTTCAACCAGGCGAGCAACACGGGGCGCAGATCCCTCAGCTGTTGAACATCGCTCGGACGGGTCTGAATACGCTGCTTGCTCATCCTCTCACCAGCACCATGTCGCATGCGGCTCCTTGAATTTGAGCGCGCCGTCGCCGTCTGATCACCACGTCCTCCATGCGCGTTTGGGCTTGTAGACATTGTTGTTGTTGACTATCGCCAGTTGAGTTTATCACCTGCGTTGAATGTGAGTAGAAGATTTGAGATATCGAAAGGGATTTTTTGTGCTTTTATACTAATTAGAGCAATAAGAATTTAACAAAAATTTGTTGTTTTTAATTAATAAAAGATGTAAATAATTAATTTATTTTTTAAATAAATATTTGATATATGTCTGGCATTGAATAAATTATTTTAAATTATGTAAATTTTGACATATATGTACATAATATTAATTAACAGACTTTTATATTTCATTCAGGATGTCAAAAAATTTTTGCACTTATGAACTTTTAGTCCCAAATAAATAAATATTTTTAGTATTTTTTCAATACATATACATATGTATATATAAATTAATTTATCCGTTAATTAATCATCTAAGGAAATAAGAGAAAGCTTTGAAATTTTAATTGCTGAATGGAAATTTTAATAAACATTTAATAATATATTAATTATTCTTCATTTAAATTTTTGCAAACTAACCTGAAGGAATAACCTCAAAAATAAAAATTATAAAAAACAATGCTTTTTATTATTGCCAAAATATGTACAACTATAATAAAAAATGTTTTTTTATTATTTTGAGACAAAAAAGAGACCATTTGGTATATAAAACAAAAAAAGCTAACGTAAATTTATTTATTGGAATGTTTATGAAAACCAAAATATTAAAATTAATTATAAGGTTTTCCTTCCTATATATTTTCTAGGGTAATTTCTCTAAAGCCCCTTATTTTAACTCTCAAATTTATTTAACTCTTTATTTCCACAATAAAAAATATTTATTTCCAAATTTCGAATATTCAAAAGCGACTGAAGAATAATGAAAAATTTGACGATTTAAAAAGGGTGAAATTTGCGTGGAAAAAAAATATATTAATCATAAAAATATATTTTATTTATTTTATTCTCCGCCCAAAAAATTCTTTTCAATTTCTTTCCAAACATTTTCTTTCTGTTGGAAACACTCCCGGCCACCAATTAGTGTTGTCTCGGGGCGTCCAATGCCAGAAGAATGAATTGCGCCATTTGTAGTAGAAATGCGGAAATGGCAGGAATGTTTGTCCACTGCTGACTCATTCTTGTTAATTGAGTTGCAACGCTGCGCATTGCTGTTTGTGTGTCCTGGTTTTGAGTGTTGCTGGGTGGATTTGTTGTCCGCTGAATTATCATGTTGCTGCTGCAAGATTGTTTGGCCGGACAATATTTGGCAAAGTGGTCTGAAGCGTGGCAAATGAAGCAACCTTGATTTAAATTTTGTCTGGGTTGCCTTCGCGCACGAATCGGACCACCAACATGTTGTCGTTGCTGTTGTTGGATAATAGCTGGATTTTGTTGTGTTGCTGTTGTTGTTTGAGGCACAAATTGGATTGGCCTAGTTGTAGTTGTTGAGGTTGATGGTAAGTGTTGGTTACGTGTTGCCCAATTGTCCATTAAATGATCGAAAATTGAATACATTTGTGATGTGTTGGTTGTATTCTCCTGTGCCTCCCCTTGAGGCACAGAAGAATTGTGTGTGCCCAAAAACGCATCACACAACTCCTCAAATGCTTCTGGGTCCTCCGTATCCAAATTGGAGTCCCCTAATGGTGTTGTTGGGGTGTTGCTGTTTGGTGCTGCCATAGCGGGAGTCCATGTCCCAACTACCAAACATAAGAAAAAAATTCCCAACAACGGACCACGAAACAATTTAGCCTTAACCTTCACTTCTACAGTGGATACCTCAGATCCGCTGCTTGAACAATGAAGATCCGAGTTGGCTTCCATAGTAACAACTAATTTTTCCTGAATAAAATCCATTTTTATATTTTTTAAACTTCCATTACTAACCTCAACTTCCATAGTTGCTCGTGCAGATGTTTGACTACCATAATTATTCTGAATATTATTATTATTATTTTCAATGTTTATATTTAATCTATCCATATCTGGGACCTCTTCCTCAATATATTCTTCTATTTCTAATCCTTCCAAAGGATAAAACTCAAGTACACCTCTCAGAGGATTTTCTAACTCTATCCCTGGTCCCATATCAATTGTTTTAGAAACTTCCTCATCATAAAAGAAATTTTGAGTATTCATCCTATTTCTTTTAACTAATTCACTCCACCATTGTGGAGGGATTTGTTCCGGATATACAGCCAAATTTTTATTATCGTCAACCAATATCCACTCGGCTAATCCAGTTATAACCCCCCTTGGGCAAGAAAATTCATTAGTAGAACAATAAATATTTCCATTATTATTTTCTACCTTTCTTGCTTCATTAGCAACTGTATTCCGATCCAAACGGCTAAAATAAAGTCTTCCATAGACATCTTCTAAATCACAATTTAAAATATTAGCAGCGAATTGAGTAAAGGGAATTGGGGCCATGAATATTTTTAAATTTAAATGATTTTTTGAAAGTGAATAAAATTTAAAATTTTTAAACCTTTTTATACAAAAATAATGCCCCCTTGACATCTCAACAAAATTTTTAAAATTTGGAGGTGTCTCTCCAAAACCTCCCGCCCCCAAATTTGTTATCAACAATAAACAGCTGGTTATGATTAATCTATACATTTTTAACATTGGGTTGACTTTTAAAAAAATTTTTAATATGAAATAAATGATAATGATGACTAAAATTCCAATTGAAATTATTTTAATATTCATCATTTCCCAAAATAATCCTTGTATGTCCAAAAGTTTAAAATTCGTCCATGAATTGTCAAAAATACCTCCCCACGCACTTTCCATTGTGTATAAACTTGGGGTTCCATTTTTAACTATAATTTTAGCTTTTTCTGGGAGAATATATTCGAGAGTTCCCTGTATTGTAAAGTTTGTTTTGCCTCCAGGGCAAAAAATTTCACAAAACTCTCTTACTTCTGTTCTATCGAAAGATAGAACTGAAACTTGTTCAGTCCCATTTATTGAACATTTACTTGTAAAAATATTGCCATTTTTACATTTTATTTCTGCTAGAGGATTTCCATAATCCGAAAAACATTTATATTTAAAAATTGCTCCAAAGCAATTATAACAACCCGATAATATAATAGGTTCAATTTTACAAATAGAAATATCTATATTTGAAGCTATTGTATAATTTTCAAATCTAACCATAATTTCTATAGGTAAGTAACTTGTTTCTGAATATATATTTCTTCCATTATTCCTTAATTTAATCCTTTTTGTATCTAAAGGCAAAGATTTTTGTTTATCTTTAAATATTTCCTCAATAATTAAATCAATACAAGCACATTTTATTTGTTCCTCTTCTTTATCTAACCAACATTCTTTACAAGAATTTATATCTAATTCACATTTTGAAAAATTTTTGGCATCAGAACATTCTAGATCTAATTTAAAATTATCGACCATTGCTACTCCATTGTTACCAATTATAAATTGATTGCTTAAAATTGGAGCCATAGGTGGGGTAATATCCAATAGCGATATTTTAATTTTATCCCATTTTATTGTCGCTCCAGGACTTAATGAAAAAGTATATTTTGATATATTTCCTTTAAATCTCATTGACATTTCTATATCAATTATATAATCCCATGTAGGGCATGAAACCAATTCAAATACCTCATTAGAAACTGGTTCGGCATATACTTTATAGAAATAACAGGCTGCTCCAGGTAATCCACATTGATATCCCCATAATGCGTGGCCTTCGACACAATATGAATTTCCTGGTTTTTTAATCCATTCATCTAACTCTTCAACATTTTCTTTCGATCTAATATGTTGGCATCTTCCAGCTTTACAGGTCCCCTGAGCTGGACACCTTTTAACAGATCCAACTTTAAGCTCATATGATCTCAATTGTCTTTGAGATTTTTGGTTACATTTTATTGAAAGACTGTTCATAATAAATTCCATTTCACCCATTATCATTCCTTTATCATTTTTTAAAGTTAAGGAAATTACCTGCCCATCAGGCAATAAAGTTAAGGTATTAGTCGTGGTAATTTTACAGGTGGTTAAATTTTTGTATCTATAACAATCTTCCGATCTCGCCTGAATTGAAATAACCTCAATATCGGCTTTTACAATTTCCATAAAAATAATAAAAATGATTATATTTAATAATCCAAGTCGGTTTAATCTTCTATTCCTTTTTATTCTATTTATTTTCTTTAATTTATGGGACCGATCAATAAGTGTTTCAAGGTCCTTATTTTCAATTTTTCCATCTTTTTTAGAAGAAATTTTAACCATTGTTTTAATCAATCTCCAAATAATTAAACATATTTTGCCTAATATTGAAAGAATTCTACAAGCGCAAACCATTCCGCTTATTATTAGACAAAGCATAAATGCTAAGAAAATACCAACTATTGTTATAGTTTTTGTTGACTCACATTGTGGATTTACTATCCTTTCCCAAATTTCTGTAATTCTTAAACAAGGATCTACTGCCGGACAAAAAATACTTCCTCGAAATATTCGTCGACCATTTATATATTTTGCTCGACATCTATAATCTAAGGCCGTTACATCCTGTGCCCAAAAGGGCATAAGCCCTACACTATTTTCCCATTCCTCTCGCATTGTTATATTTACGTACTATTTTTATTTACCGCCCACAATTTATTTTGTTTAACCACGCCTACTTT